GGATTTGTACCAGGGGGGGGGGGTTTAACCGTAACCCAAAGTTGCGAGCAAGGCCCTCCCCCAGAAAATTTTTAAAATTAGACCCCTTCAGATGCGTTTTCTGCACGAGCAAGGGGGGTCCGGACTCCCTGGACCCCCTCTGTACACGCCCCTGCTCGGGCGCGAAGCGACCAGGCGAGGGAGCCAAGCGACCGAACAGGGGGGGAGGGGGGTGTTCACTGTTCACCCTCCCGCACGATGAAGATTTTGCAATTATTACACTAAAATGGAGCGACCTGAGGTGAAATTCTTGCAAATTTTCAAAAAAAATCATACATTCATTTTACATTATAGATGTAGCTCTAAGCGTCATGGCGAATGGGGTTGTCAGTCGTTCGCGGAATTCTCGCCATTTATAAGTCACGGCGATGACGAGCAGTTCTATGATGGCACATATAACGCACGGTCCCATAGTAATCGAGTTTCCTCACATGGTGACTTAATTGGAATTGAAATAATAGGTAATATATTTAGCGCAGGAAAAGGCCACGTCCATAAGCAAACACTGGCTCTAGGCTGACATGTAGTCAAACATCTAATCAATTATAATGACGGATTATACATCCGTGTTCTAGGGTTTATTTTAAGGAAATGTTCTTCTACTGCACATGAGGAACGCACATTAGTCCCTCATGGAAAACTAACCATGTTAGCCAAACGCACAAAAGAGTGTAATTACTGCAATAATTAACACGGGCCACATTTCTTGAATATAGTAACACATCTATGTAATATGATAAAATGCTAGTAATTAATTCCCATGCACGCAACGAAGTTATGTATCTACTGCACACATTTTGACTCTTCGCTGCACATCCTATATTTCCAACTCCGTCTTCTGTTTCTAACTGCCCTCGTTAGTTACCCTGTCGTTTTATTGCGTTATTTTAGATCCAGGTTTAACGTTGTCAAAGGATTCTTGTGTTCGTGGCTCTAGTATTAATCAGGTGACTATAGGTTCTCCTAAAAATAACCTCCTGATAATCCAACAATGGTAGACGAGTAATATCTTTCTGTGCGGCCATATTTCTGTGTATGCATTATGCTGTATTGTTCTGTGTATATCATCATCCCGCATGTTAATTACTATTTATTCACTATCATGTTATAGATAAGTCACTTTTCTTTTTCTGACCTTATTGTAGTGATATATTACGCTGTATTGTTCTCTATGTTTATCTATTATAGTGTGGTTGGATGGTAGTGTATACATTGTAATATAAACTAACACGTGTTCCAATGAAATCTTGGCGCATATATCTAATATCGCGTAAGAGTAGACGCGATACGTCTCGGGGTAATATCCAGCCCATGATTCCATTGTAGTAAGTAATCGTACTTGTTTAGTAAAAGCCCCTGGTGCTAGGGTCGACGAGTTTGGGTTACAGTTATCTATTGTGAGGTATCTATGGTCTACGTAATTGGAAATACACAGCAGCGACCGCACCAAAGATTTTGCACCTGAATGTTGCTGACTAATGATGCAGAACGGCGAGGATACAACAGTTTGTCGTTACACACCATGCTGATCAAAACACTTCGTTGTTCAGGTTAGTGCTTTGCCATCGAGCGTATGTCGAGCGACCGTCGCCCCCAATACGCAGTACAACATATTCACTCATTCTATTATTCACTCCTGGTATTATGATTCCGCATGTGATCAGATTATTATATGTTCTATTACATTGCAACCTTTTATCTAGTAAAAATGTGACTCGTCAGTGATCAGTGCGTGTGTGTGTGTGTGTGTGTGTGTGTGTGTGTGTGTGTGTGTGTGTACAATCTTACTGCTTGCTACTTCTGCTGCTACTGCTATTGTTGCTGCTGCTGCTGCTGTTGTTTTTACTGCTGCTGTTGTTGTTGTTTTTGCTGCTGTTACTGTTGTTGCTGCTGCTGTTGTTGTTGCTGCTGCTGCTGCTGTTGCTGCTGCTACAAGTTTAATTTGTGGTGCACTGACGTCGGTCGCGCTTTCACTGCGAAATCGTCGGAAAAGCGAAAATTCTAACCGGCGAAATTCTAAACATAGGAAATTCTTTTGAAATTCTTTGTGGATGAGAGCCATTCTCGTGTGCCGGTAGATTACACGCTTTAAAATGCCATATACACACTAGTCACGGCTGCTCGAGCGAACAGCAGACTGGTCCGTGATCCGTTTATAACGCACAGACAGTGACAACAGAAGCAAGCAACAAAGGTTCACATAGCATAGCTAGTCGTATTTCGTGCGGAGTTTGTTTTTCGTATCGAGTTTTGATATTATTTAGCGCTAATGGTGTTTTATCAACAATAGTAAACCGAATAGCCACATAAAATGGCTCATTGTGCAAATTTTAGGTAGAATTAACTGTGAAAGTTATACCGTATATGGACGGTCTGCAGAAGGAGTGATATAACATAATGTTATTATTACGGCTACAATTCCCGGTAAATATTAGCGAAAAGTTTCGAAATATAACTAAAATACGTAGGAATTGCGAATAGTTTTACTTAAATACACAGGGAGACAGGTGGGGAGAAATAAAGAGATAATGGGGAGAGAGAAAGAGAGAACGCGAAACAGCAAGTCAGAGAGAGTAAGAAATAGGGAAAATAGAGAAAGAGAGACAGTGCAAACATAATTGAGAAAGAGAAAGCGAGGAAGAGAATGGAAAGCCATTAGGGATTAGAAGGGGCGCACGTAGGAAAATAACAAAACGCGAGCCAGTGAGATTCAACGTGAGAGGAAGAGTGTGTAAACGAGACAGAGAGAGAGAGAGAGAGAGAGAGAGAGAGAGAGAGAGAGAGAGAGAGAGAGAGAGAGAGAGAGAGAGAGAGAGAGAGAGAGAGAGAGGGGGAGGTGAGGAAGAGAGAAGGAGAATAGTGTTAGGG